TTTATTATCACCTATAGGCCAGGTGATCGCAACACTAAAGCAGACGCTCTGTCCAGACAGTTCAAAACTACTGACAAACAGGAGATTGATGTTACTCCTGTCATTCCCCCAGACAGGATAATAGCTACTACTATTTTGTCTATTTCCTCGTCCCTCTTGCAGGCCATACAAGCGAAACAAAGCATGGCACCTAGCGAGAGGCTTAATGATAAACTGTTCGTTGATGTTCCTGAGAGACGGGATATTATGTCATTATATCATGATACTAAGACCGCTGGACATCCTGGTATTTCCAAAACGGTGTCAGCTGTTTCTCGGTATTTTTGGTGGGTTTCCTTACGAAAGGATGTCACTGACTATATAAGTGCTTGTACTACTTGTGCCTGTATGAAATCCTCCCGTAGAGTTCCTTGTGGGCTGTTGCATCCGTTCCCCGTTCCCGAGAGACCTTGGTCTAACCTGTCCATGGATTTTATTGTTGAATTACCCCCTTCAAAAGGTAACACAGTGATCCTGATGATAGTGGTCTGGTTCTCCAAAATGGCTCACTTCGTGTCTCTTCGCAAGTTGCCCACATCCAAGGAACTGGCTCATATCTTCGCTAGAGAAGTATTTCGATTACATGGGATTCCCGTATCTATTGTATCCGATAGGGGTAGCCAATTTATTTCCAGGTTCTGGAGGCCTTTTGTTCAGAAATGGGTATTTCTCTCTCATTTTCTTCCTCTTATCATCCCCAGTCTAATGGGGCTGCTGAACGTGCCAACCAGTCTCTGGAGCAATACCTCCGTTGTTTTGTGTCTCACCATCAGGACAATTGGTCTGACCTGCTTCCTTGGGCTGAATTTGCTCGGAATAACGCCACTCATGATTATTCCGGCAAGAGCCCTTTTTACGTTGTCTATGGCCAGCATCCTGTTGTTCTTCCGGCTGCATTCTCCTCACAGGGCATGCCAGTTCTGGATGAGCATTTGGCTGGTTTGCGTAATACTTGGGAGCAGGTTCAGCGTTCTTTGGTGGACTCTGCTACTCGCCAGAAGGCTCAGGCTGACAAGCATCGCAGAGCAGCTCCGTCCTATGTTGTGGGGGATAGGGTTTTGCTTTCCACGCGGAATATTCGTCTCCGGGTGCCTTCTATGAAATTGGCTCCCCGCTTCATTGGACCTTATCGTATTATACATAAGGTTAATCCTGTTTCTTATGCCTTGGGCCTGCCTAAGAATCTATGTATTCCTAATGTTTTTCACACCTCATTGTTGAAACCTTTCGTACGCAACCGCTATACCCGGCATACTCCTCCTCCCCCTCCTATCTCGGTGGAGGGTCATGAGGAGTTTGAAGTGTCTGCTGTTCTTGACTCTCGCTTCCTTAGGGGTCGACTTCAGTACTTGGTACATTGGAAGGGTTATGGGCCTGAGGAGCACAGTTGGATTTCGGCTGATGCTGTCCATGCTCCCCGTCTTGTGCGCTCTTTCCATTTTCGTTTTCCTGCCAGGCCTGGTCCTACCCGCCCGGGGGGCGTGTCCTCAGGGGGGGGTACTGTAGCGTTGCTTACCTTAACCGGGGGCCGGTCGCGGTCCTCTCTTCAAGCCGCGCGCGGTCCTGCGGCTGCACGAGCCGCGCGCGGCTCATCCAACTGCTTTGGATGGAAGGCGGGCAGTGACCCGCCTGAAACTAAGAGCGCGCCGCGAGTCTCGGGCGCGCTCTTAAAGAGACAGTGGGAGCCTAATTGCCAAAAGGCTCTCCCATTGGCTCCAGTCATACCGCACTCCCTGTACAATTACCTATAGGGGTGTGGAAGTGACAGGAGCCAATCACTTTCGTTTTAAAGCTATTTAAACTTACCTTTTTCCCTTAGCTCGTTGCCCTATCGTGGTTTCTGTTTCAGTTCCCTTTAGCGCTTGTGGTGTTTAGTTGTGTTTTCTCGTATTGACTTTGGCTTCGTATTCTGACTTCGTTTTCGCTTTATCCTTATCTGTACTGTTTGCCGGCTTGCTGTTTTCCGTGTACTAGACCCCGGCTTGTCCTAGTTTACGCTGTCTCTCTGTGCCCTTGACCTCGGTTTGTTCCTGGCTCTGTCTCCTCTCATATACGTCGAGTCCGGCCATTCTAAGGTCCGGTAGAAGTATCTCTCCTCTGTATTTGCCTCTGTTTAGCTGGATCCTGCGTGTAGGGGTATATTCTCGTTACAACATCATAATCTAAAAAATAAATAAACAAAAGCTTACGGCACCTGAGGTTCCTAGTTAGTCTCCCATACAAGTACTAAGCAGGCCCAAGTCTGCATTACTTCTGAGATCTGACGAGATCAGGCACTTTCAGACTAGTATGGCCATAGGCAAAATTAGCAGAAAGTGATCTCGCTGATGTTGGTATAATATCAAACACTGGTTGCGACAAAAGACAAGACGCTTCTGACTAGGGAAAGAAGTGATCTGATTATGACATCATAATCTAAAAAAGAAATAAACAAAAGCTTACGGCACCTGAGGTTCCTAGTTGGTCTCCCATACATGTACTAAGCAGGCCCAAGTCTGCATTACTTCTGAGATTTGACAAGATCAGGCACTTTCAGACTGGTATAGTCAAAGGCAAAATTAGCAGAAAGTGATCTCGCTGATGTTGGTATAATATCAAACACTGGTTGCGACAAAAGACAAGACGCTTCTGACTAGGGAAAAAAGTGATCTGATTATGACATCATAATCTAAAAAAGAAATAAACAAAAGCTTACAGCATCTGATGTTCCTAATTGGTATCCCAAACAAGTACTAAGCAGGCCAAAGTCTGCATGACTTCTGAGATCCGACGAGAACAGGCACTTTCAGACTGGTATGGCCGTAGGCAGAATTAGTAGAAAGTGATCTCGCTGATGCTGGTATAATATCAAACACTGGTTGCGACAAAAGACAAGACGCTTCTGACTAGGGAAAAAAGTGATCTGATTATGACATCATAATCTAAAAAAGAAATAAACAAAAGCTTACGGCACCTGAGGTTCCTAGTTGGTCTCCCATACAAGTACAAAAAAGGCCCAAGTCTGCATGACTTCTGAGATCTGACGAGATCAGGCACTTTCGGACTGGTATGGCCGTAGGCGAAATTAGCAGAAAGTGATCTCGCTGATGTTGGTATAATATCAAACACTGGTTGCAACAAAAGACAAGACGCTTCTGACTAGGGAAAAAGTGATCTGATTATGACATCATAATCTAAAAAAGAAATAAACAAAAGCTTACGGCACCTGAGGTTCCTAGTTGGTCTCCCATACAAGCACAAAGCAGGCACAAGTCTCCATGACTTCTGAGATCTGACGAGATCAGGCACTTTCAGACTGGTATGGCCGTCAGCGAAAATAGCAGAAAGTGATCTCGCTGATGTTGGTATAATATCAAACACTGGTTGCGACAAAAGACAAGACGCTTCTGACTAGGGAAAAAAGTGATCTGATTATGACATCATAATCTAAAAAAGAAATAAACAAAAGCTTACGGCACCTGAGGTTCCTAGTTGGTCTCCCATACATGTACTAAGCAGGCCCAAGTCTGCATTACTTCTGAGATTTGACAAGATCAGGCACTTTCAGACTGGTATAGTCAGAGGCAAAATTAGCAGAAAGTGATCTCGCTGATATTGGTATATCAAACACTGGTTGCAACAAAAGACAAGACGCTTCTGACTAGGGAAAAAAGTGATCTGATTATGACATCATAATCTAAAAAAGAAATAAACAAAAGCTTACGGCACCTGAGGTTCCTAGTTGGTCTCCCATACAAGCACAAAGCAAGCACAAGTCTCCATGACTTCTGAGATCTGACGAGATCAGGCACTTTCAGACTGGTATGGCTGTCAGCAAAATTAGCAGAAAGTGATCTCGCTGATGTTGGTATAATATCAAACACTGGTTGCGACAAAAGACAAGACGCTTCTGACTAGGGACAAAAGTGATCTGATTATGACATCATAATCTAAAAAAGAAATAAACAGAAGCTTACGGCACCTGAGGTTCCTGGTTGGTCTCCCAAACAAGTACTAAGCAGGCCCAAGTCTGCATGACTTCTGAGATCTGACGAGATCAGGCACTTTCAGACTGGTATGACCGTACGCAAAATTAGCAGAAAGTGATCTCGCTGATGTTGGTATAATATCAAACACTGGTTGCGACAAAAGACAAGACGCTTCTGACTAGGGAAAAAAGTGATCTGATTATGACATCATAATCTAATAAAGAAATAAACAAAACCTTACGGCACCTGAGGTTCCTAGTTGGTCTCCCATACAAGTACTAAGCAGGCCCATGTATGCCTGACTTCTGAGATCTGACGAGATCAGGCACTTTCAGACTGGTATGGCCTTAGGCGAAATTAGCAGAAAGTGATCTTGCTGATGTTGGTATAATATCAAACACTGGTTGCGACAAAAGACAAGACGCTTCTGACTAGGGAAAAAAGTGATCTGATTATGACATCATAATCTAAAAAATAAATAAACAAAAGCTTACGGCACCTGAGGTTCCTAGTTAGTCTCCCATACAAGTACTAAGCAGGCCCAAGTCTGCATTACTTCTGAGATCTGACGAGATCAGGCACTTTCAGACTAGTATGGCCAAAGGCAAAATTAGCAGAAAGTGATCTCGCTGATGTTGGTATAATATCAAACACTGGTTGCGACAAAAGACAAGACGCTTCTGACTAGGGAAAAAAGTGATCTGATTATGACATCATAATCTAAAAAGAAATAAACAAAAGCTTATGGCACCTGAGGTTCCTAGTTGGTCTCCCATACAAGTACAAAGCAGGCACAAGTCTGCATGACTTCTGAGATCTGACGAGAAAAGGCACTTTCAGACTAGTATGGCCGTAGGCGAAATTAGCAGAAAGTGATCTCGCTGATGTTGGTATAATATCAAACACTGGTTGCGACAAAAGACAAGAGACGCTCTGACTAGGGAAAAAAGTGATTCATTATGACATCATAATTCCAAAAAAGAAATAAACAAAAGCTTACGGCACCTGAGGTTCCTGGTTGGTCTCCAAACAAGTACTTGGCATGCCCAAGTCTGCATGACTTCTGAGATGTGACGAGATCAGGCACTTTCAGACTGAAGGCTGGTTAGGCAAAATTAGCGTGAAAGATCTCGCTGATGTTGGTATAATATCAAACACTGGTTGGCGCATAAAAGAGAAGACGCCTGACTAGGGAAGTGATCTGATTATGACATCATAATCTAAAAGAAATAAACAAACCTTACGGCACCTGAGGTTCAGAAGGTTGGTCTCCCATACAAGTACTAAGCAAGCCCAAGTCTGTATGACTTCTAAGATCTGACGAGATCAGGCACTTTCAGACTTGTATGGCCGTAGGTGAAATTAGCAGAAAGTGTTCTCGCTGATGTTGGTATAATATCAAACACTGGTTGCGACAAAAGACAAGACGCTTCTGACTAGGGAAAAAAGTGATCTGATTTATGACATCATAATCTAAAAAAGAAATAAACAAAAGCTTACGGCACCTGAGGTTCCTAGTTGGTCTCCCATACAAGTACTAATCAGCCCCAAGTCTGCATGACTTCTGAGATTTTACAACATCAGGAACTTTCAGACTTGTATGGCCATAGGCGAAATTAGTAGAAAGTGATCTCGCTGATGTTGGTATAATATCAAACACTGGTTGCAACAAAAGACAAGACGCTTCTGACTAGGGAAAAAAGTGATCTGATTATGACATCATAATCTAAAAAAGAAATAAACAAAAGCTTACGGCACCTGAGGTTCCTAGTTGGTCTCCCATACATGTACTAAGCAGGCCCAAGTCTGCATTACTTCTGAGATTTGAAAAGATCAGGCACTTTCAGACTGGTATAGTCAGAGGCAAAATTAGCAGAAAGTGATCTCGCTGATATTGGTATAATATCAAACACTGGTTGCAACAAAAGACAAGACGCTTCTGACTAGGGAAAAAAGTGATCTGATGACATCATAATCTAAAAAGAAATAAACAAAAGCTTACGGCACCTGAGGTTCCTAGTTGGTCTCCATACAAGTACAAAGCAAAAGTACAAGTTCCATGACTTCTGGAGACTGACGAGATCAGGCAATTGTGACCGGTATGGCCGTGAGGCTTAAATTATATAAAGTGATCTCGCTGATGTTTGTATAATATCAAACACTGGTTGCGACAAAAGACAAGACGCTTCTGACTAGGGAAAAAAGTGATCTGATTATGACATCATAATCTAAAAAAGAAATAAACAAAAGCTTACGGCACCTGAGGTTCCTAGTTGGTCTCCCATACAAGTACAAAGCAGGCACAAGTCTCCATGACTTCTGAGACTGACGAGATCAGGCACTTTCAGACTGGTATGGCCGTAGGCGAAATTAGCATAAAGTGATCTCGCTGATGTTGGTATAATATCAAACACTGGTTGCGACAAAAGACAAGACGCTTCTGACTAGGGAAAAAAGTGATCTGATTATGACATCATAATCTAAAAAAGAAATAAACAAAAGCTTACAGCATCTGATGTTCCTAATTGGTATCCCAAACAAGTACTAAGCAGGCCCAAGTCTGCATGACTTCTGAGATCTGACGAGAACAGGCACTTTCAGACTGGTATGGCCGTAGGCAGAATTAGTAGAAAGTGATCTCGCTGATGCTGGTATAATATCAAACACTGGTTGCGACAAAAGACAAGACGCTTCTGACTAGGGAAAAAGTGATCTGATTATGACATCATAATCTAAAAAATAAATAAACAAAAGCTTACGGCACCTGAGGTTCCTAGTTGGTCTCCCATACAAGTACTAAGCAGGCCCAAGTCTGCATAACTTCTGAGCTCTGACGAGATCAGGCACTTTCAGACTGGTATGGCCGTAGGCGAAATTAGCAGAAAGTGATCTCGCTGAAGTTGGTATAATATCAAACACTGGTTGCGACAAAAGACAAGACGCTGCTGACTAGGGAAAAAAGTGATCTGATTATGACATCAAAATTCAAAAAAAGAAATAAACAAAAGCTTACGGCACCTGAGGTTCCTAGTTGGTCTCCCATACAAGTACTAATCAGACTCAAATCTGCATGACTTCGGAGATCTGACGAGATCAGGCACTTACAGACTGGGATGGCCGTAAGCGAAATTAGCAGAAAGTGATCTCGCTGATGTTTGTATAATATCAAACACTGGTTGCGACAAAAGACAAGACACTTCTGACTAGGGAAAAAAGTGATCTGATTATGACATCATAATCTAAAAAATAAATAAACAAAAGCTTACGGCACCTGAGGTTCCTAGTTAGTCTCCCATACAAGTACTAAGCAGGCCCAAGTCTGCATTACTTCTGAGATCTGACGAGATCAGGCACTTTCAGACTAGTATGGCCATAGGCAAAATTAGTAGAAAGTGATCTCGCTGATGTTGGTATAATATCAAACACTGGTTGTGACAAAAGACAAGACGCTTCTGACTAGGGAAAAAAGTGATCTGATTATGACATCATAATCTAAAAAAGAAATAAACAAAACCTTACGTCACCTGAGGTTCCTAGTTGGTCTCCCATACAAGTACTAAGCAGGCCCATGTATGCATGACTTCTGAGATCTGACGAGATCAGGCACTTTCAGACTGGTATGACCGTACGCAAAATTAGCAGAAAGTGATCTCGCTGATGTTGGTATAATATCAAACACTGGTTGCGACAAAAGACAAGACGCTTCTGACTAGGGAAAAAAGTGATCTGATTATGACATCATAATCTAATAAAGAAATAAACAAAACCTTACGGCACCTGAGGTTCCTAGTTGGTCTCCCATACAAGTACTAAGCAGGCCCATGTATGCCTGACTTCTGAGATCTGACGAGATCAGGCACTTTCAGACTGGTATGGCCGTAGTCGAAATTAGCAGAAAGTGATCTTGCTGATGTTGGTATAATATCAAACACTGGTTGCGACAAAAGACAAGACGCTTCTGACTAGGGAAAAAAGTGATCTGATTATGACATCATAATCTAAAAAATAAATAAACAAACGCTTACGGCACCTGAGGTTCCTAGTTAGTCTCCCATACCTGTACTAAGCAGGCCCAAGTCTGCATTACTTCTGAGATCTGACGAGATCAGGCACTTTCAGACTAGTATGGCCATAGGCAAAATTAGCAGAAAGTGATCTCGCTGATGTTGGTATAATATCAAACACTGGTTGCGACAAAAGACAAGACGCTTCTGACTAGGGAAAAAAGTGATCTGATTATGACATCATAATCTAAAAAGAAATAAACAAAAGCTTATGGCACCTGAGGTTCCTAGTTGGTCTCCCATACAAGTACAAAGCAGGCACAAGTCTCCATGACTTCTGAGATCTGACGAGATCAGGCACTTTCAGACTAGTATGGCCGTAGGCGAAATTAGCAGAAAGTGATCTCGCTGATGTTGGTATAATATCAAACACTGGTTGCGACAAAAGACAAGACGCTTCTGACTAGGGAAAAAAGTGATCTTATTATGACATCATAATCTAAAAAAGAAATAAACAAAAGCTTACGGCACCTGAGGTTCCTGGTTGGTCTCCCAAACAAGTACTAAGCATGCCCAAGTCTGCATGACTTCTGAGATCTGACGAGATCAGGCACTTTCAGACTGGTATGGCCATAGGCAAAATTAGCAGAAAGTGATCTCGCTGATGTTGGTATAATATCAAACACTGGTTGCGACAAAAGACAAGACGCTTCTGACTAGGGACAAAAGTGATCTGATTATGACATCATAATCTAAAAAAGAAATAAACATAAGCTTACGGCACTTGAGGTTCCTAGTTGGTCTCCCATACATGTACTAAACAGGCACAAGTCTGCATGACTTCTGAGATCTGACAAGATCAGGCACTTTCAGACTGGTATGGCTGTAGGCGAAATTAGCAGAAAGTGATATCGCTGATGTTGGTATAATATCAAACACTGGGTGCGACAAAAGACAAGACGCTTCTGACTAGGGAAAAAGTGATCTGATTATGACATCATAATCTAAAAAAGAAATAAACAAAAGCTTACGGCACCTGAGGTTCCTAGTTGGTCTCCCATACAAGTACTAATCAGACTCAAATCTGCATGACTTCGGAGATCTGACGAGATCAGGCACTTTCAGACTGGTATGGCCGTAAGCGAAATTAGAAGAAAGTGATCTCGCTGATGTTTGTATAATATCAAACACTGGTTGCGACAAAAGACAAGACACTTCTGACTAGGGAAAAAAGTGATCTGATTATGACATCATAATCTAAAAAATAAATAAACAAAAGCTTACGGCACCTGAGGTTCCTAGTTGGTCTCCCATACAAGTACTAAGCAGGCCCAAGTCTGCATGACTTCTGAGATCTGACGAGATCAGGCACTTTCAGACTGGTATGGCCGCAGGCAAAATTAGCAGAAAGTGATCTCGCTGATGTTCGTATAATATCAAACATTGGTTGCGACAATAGACAAGACGCTTCTGACTAGGGAAAAAAGTGATCTGATTATGACATCATAATCTAAAAAAGAAATAAACAAAGGCTTACAGCACCTGAGGTTCTTAATTGGTTTCCCATACAAGTTCTAAGCAGGCACAACTCTGCATGACTTCTGAGATCTGACGAGATCAGGCACCTTTAGACTGGTATGGCCGTAGGCGAAATTAGTAGAAAGTGATCTCGCTGATGTTGGTATAATATCAAACACTGGTTGCGACAAAAGACAAGACGCTTCTGACTAGGAAAAAAAGTGATCTGATTATGACATCATAATCTAAAAAAGAAATAAACAAAAGCTTACGGCACCTGAGGTTCCTAGTTGGTCTCCCATACAAGTACTAAGAAGGCCCAAGTCTGCATGACTTCTGAGATCTGATGAGATCAGGCACTTTCACACTGGTATGGCCATAGGCAAAATGAATAGAAAGTGATCTCGCGGATGTTGGTATAATATCAAACACTGGTTGCGACAAAAGACAAGACGCTTCTGACTAGGGAAAAAAGTGATCTGATTATGACATCATAATCTAAAAAAGAAATAAACAAAAGCTTACAGCATCTGATGTTCCTAATTGGTATCCCATACAAGTACTAAGCACGCCCAAGTCTGCATGACTTCTGAGATCTGACGAGAAAAGGCACTTTCAGACTGGTATGGCCGTAGGCAGAATTAGTAGAAAGTGATCTCGCTGATGTTGGTATAATATCAAACACTGGTTGCGACAAAAGACAAGACGCTTCTGACTAGGGAAAAAAGTGATCTTATTATGACATCATAATCTAAAAAAGAAATAAACAAAAGCTTACGGCACCTGAGGTTCCTGGTTGGTCTCCCAAACAAGTACTAAGCATGCCCAAGTCTGCATGACTTCTGAGATGTGACGAGATCAGGCACTTTCAGACTGGTATGGCCATAGGCAAAATTAGCAGAAAGTGATCTCGCTGATGTTGGTATAATATCAAACACTGGTTGCGACAAAAGAGAAGACGCTTCTGACTAGGGAAAAAAGTGATCTGATTATGACATCATAATCTAAAAAAGAAATAAACAAAACCTTACGGCACCTGAGGTTCGTAGTTGGTCTCCCATACAAGTACTAAGCAGGCCCATGTATGCATGACTTGTGAGATCTGACGAGATCAGGCACTTTCAGACTGGTATGGCCGTAGGTGAAATTAGCAGAAAGTGATCTCGCTGATGATGGTATAATATCAAACACTGGTTGCGACAAAAGACAAGACGCTTCTGACTAGGGAAAAAAGTGATCTGATTATGACATCATAATCTAAAAAAGAAATAAACAAAAGCTTACGGCACCTGAGGTTCCTAGTTGGTCTCCCATACATGTACTAAGAAGGCCCAAGTCTGCATTACTTCTGAGATCTGACGAGACCAAGCACTTTCAGACTAGTATGGCCATAGGAAAAATTAGTAGAAAGTGATCTCGCTGATGTTGGTATAATATCAAACACTGGTTGCGACAAAAGACAAGACGCTTCTGACTAGGGAAAAAAGTGATCTGATTATGACATCATAATCTAAAAAAGAAATAAACAAAAGCTTACGGCACCTGAGGTTCCTAGTTGGTCTCCCATACAAGTACTAAGCAGGCCCAAGTCTGCATGACTTCTGAGATCTGACGAGATCAGGCACTTTCAGACTGGTATGGCCATAAGGCGAAATTAGCAGAAAGTGATCTCGCTGATGTTGGTATAATATCAAACACTGGTTGCAACAAAAGACAAGACGCTTCTGACTAGGGAAAAAAGTGATCTGATTATGACATCATAATCTAAAAAAGAAATAAACAAAAGCTTACGGCACCTGAGGTTCCTAGTTGGTCTCCCATACAAGTACAAAGCAGGCACAAGTCTCCATGACTTCTGAGATCTGACGAGATCAGGCACTTTCAGACTGGTATGGCCGTAGGCGAAATTAGCATAAAGTGATCTCGCTGATGTTGGTATAATATCAAACACTGGTTGCGACAAAAGACAAGACGCTTCTGACTAGGGAAAAAAGTGATCTGATTATGACATCATAATCTAAAAAAGAAATAAACAAAAGCTTACAGCATCTGATGTTCCTAATTGGTATCCCAAACAAGTACTAAGCAGGCCCAAGTCTGCATGACTTCTGAGATCCGACGAGAACAGGCACTTTCAGACTGGTATGGCCGTAGGCAGAATTAGTAGAAAGTGATCTCGCTGATGCTGGTATAATATCAAACACTGGTTGCGACAAAAGACAAGACGCTTCTGACTAGGGAAAAAAGTGATCTGATTATGACATCATAATCTAAAAAAGAAATAAACATAAGCTTACGGCACCTGAGGTTCCTGGTTGGTCTCCCAAACAAGTACTAAGCAGGCCCAAGTCTGCATGACTTCTGAGATCTGACGAGATCAGGCACTTTCAGACTGGTATGACCGTAGGCAAAATTAGCAGAAAGTGATCTCGCTGATGTTGGTATAATATCAAACACTGGTTGCGACAAAAGACAAGACGCTTCTGACTAGGGAAAAAAGTGATCTGATTATGACATCATAATCTAAAAAAGAAATAAACAAAACCTTACGGCACCTGAGGTTCCTAGTTGGTCTCCCATACAAGTACTAAGCAGGCCCATGTATGCATGATTTCTGAGATCTGACGAGATCAGGCACTTTCAGACTGGTATGGCCGTAGGCGAAATTAGCAGAAAGTGATCTCGCTGATGTTGGTATAATATCAAACACTGGTTGCGACAAAAGACAAGACGCTTCTGACTAGGGAAAAAAGTGATCTGATTATGACATCATAATCTAAAAAATAAATAAACAAAAGCTTACGGCACCTGAGGTTCCTAGTTAGTCTCCCATACAAGTACTAAGCAGGCCCAAGTCTGCATTACTTCTGAGATCTGACGAGATCAGGCACTTTCAGACTAGTATGGCCATAGGCAAAATTAGTAGAAAGTGATCTCGCTGATGTTGGTATAATATCAAACACTGGTTGTGACAAAAGACAAGACGCTTCTGACTAGGGAAAAAAGTGATCTGATTATGACATCATAATCTAAAAAAGAAATAAACAAAACCTTACGTCACCTGAGGTTCCTAGTTGGTCTCCCATACAAGTACTAAGCAGGCCCATGTATGCATGACTTCTGAGATCTGACGAGATCAGGCACTTTCAGACTGGTATGGCTGTAGGCAAAATTAGCAGAAAGTGATCTCGCTGATGTTGGTATAATACCAAACACTGGTTGCGACAAAAGACAAGACGCTTCTGACTAGGGAAAAAAGTGATCTGATTATGACATCATAATCTAAAAAAGAAATAAACAAAAGTTTACGGCACCTGAGGTTCCTAGTTGGTCTCCCATACATGTACTAAGCAGGCCCAAGTCTGCATTACTTCTGAGATTTGACAAGATCAGGCACTTTCAGACTGGTATAGTCAGAGGCAAAATTAGCAGAAAGTGATCTCGCTGATATTGGTATAATATCAAACACTGGTTGCAACAAAAGACAAGACGCTTCTGACTAGGGAAAAAAGTGATCTGATTATGACATCATAATCTAAAAAAGAAATAAACAAAAGCTTTCGGCACCTGAGGTTCCTAGTTGGTCTCCCATACAAGCACAAAACAGGCACAAGTCTCCATGACTTCTGAGATCTGACGAGATCAGGCACTTTCAGACTGGTATGGCCGTCAGCAAAATTAGCAGAAAGTGATCTCGCTGATGTTGGTATAATATCAAACACTGGTTGCGACAAAAGACAAGACGCTTCTGACTAGGGACAAAAGTGATCTGATTATGACATCATAATCTAAAAAAGAAATAAACATAAGCTTAGGGCACTTGAGGTTCCTAGTTGGTCTCCCATACATGTACTAAACAGGCACAAGTCTGCATGACTTCTGAGATCTGACAAGATCAGGCACTTTCAGACTGGTATGGCTGTAGGCGAAATTAGCAGAAAGTGATATCGCTGATGTTGGTATAATATCAAACACTGGGTGCGACAAAAGACAAGACGCTTCTGACTAGGGAAAAAAGTGATCTGATTATGACATCATAATCTAAAAAAGAAATAAACAAAAGCTTACAGCATCTGATGTTCCTAATTGGTATCCCAAACAAGTACTAAGCAGGCCCAACTCTGCATGACTTCTGAGATCCGACGAGAACAGGCACTTTCAGACTGGTATGGCCGTAGGCAGAATTAGTAGAAAGTGATCTCGCTGATGCTGGTATGATATCAAACACTGATTGCGACAAAAGACAAGACGCTTCTGACTAGGGAAAAAAGTGATCTGATTATGACATCATAATCTAAAAAAGAAATAAACAAAAGCTTACAGCATCTGATGTTCCTAATTGGTATCCCATACAAGTACTAAGCATGCCCAAGTCTGCATGACTTCTGAGATCTGACGAGAAAAGGCACTTTCAGACTGGTATGGCCGTAGGCAGAATTAGTAGAAAGTGATCTCGCTGATGTTGGTATAATATCAAACACTGGTTGCGACAAAAGACAAGACGCTTCTGACAAAGGAAAAAAGTGATCTTATTATGACATCATAATCTAAAAAAGAAATAAACAAAAGCTTACGGCACCTGAGGTTCCTGGTTGGTCTCCCAAACAAGTACTAAGCATGGCCCAAGTCTGCATGACTTCTGAGATCTGACGAGATCAGGCACTTTCAGACTGGTATGGCCATAGGCAAAAATAGCAGAAAGTGATCTCGCTGATGTTGGTATAATATCAAACACTGGTTGCGACAAAAGACAAGACGCTTCTGACTAGGGAAAAAAGTGATCTGATTATGACATCATAATCTAAAAAAGAAATAAACAAAACCTTACGGCACCTGAGGTTCCTAGTTGGTCTCCCATACAAGTACTAAGCAGGCCCAAGTCTGCTGACTTCTGAGATCTGACGAGATCAGGCACTTTCAGACTGGTATGGCCTTAGGCGAAATTAGCAGAAAGTGATCTCGCTGATGTTGGTATAATATCAAACACTGGTTGCGACAAAAGACAAGACGCTTCTGACTAGGGAAAAAAGTGATCTGATTATGACATCATAATCTAAAAAATAAATAAACAAAAGCTTACGGCACCTGAGGTTCCTAGTTGGTCTCCCATACAAGTACTAAGCAGGCCCAAGTCTGCATTATTTCTGAGATCTGACGAGATCAGGCACTTTCAGACTAGTATGGCCATAGGCAAAATTAGCAGAAAGTGATCTCGCTGATGTTGGTATAATATCAAACACTGGTTGCGACAAAAGACAAGACGCTTCTGACTAGGGAAAAAAGTGATCTGATTGTGACATCATAATCTAAAAAATAAATAAGCAAAAGTTACGGGACATGAGGTTCCTAGTTGGTCTCCCATACAAGTACTAAAGCAGGCCCAAGTCTGCATGACTTCTGAGATCTGACGAGATCAGGCACTTTCAGACTAGTATGGCCGTAGGCGAAATTAGCAAAAGTGATATCGCTGATGTTGGTATAATATCAAACACTGGTTGCGACAAAAGACAAGACGCTTCTGACTAGGGAAAAAAGTGATCTGATTATGACATCATAATCTAAAAAAGAAATAAACAAAAGCTTACAGCATCTGATGTTCCTAATTGGTATCCCATACAAGTACTAAGCACGCCCAAGTCTGCATGACTTCTGAGATCTGACGAGAAAAGGCACTTTCAGACTGGTATGGCCGTAGGCAGAATTAGTAGAAAGTGATCTCGCTGATGTTGGTATAATATCAAACACTGGTTGCGACAAAAGACAAGACGCTTCTGACTAGGGAAAAAAGTGATCTTATTATGACATCATAATCTAAAAAAGAAATAAACAAAAGCTTACGGCACCTGAGGTTCCTGGTTGGTCTCCCAAACAAGTACTAAGCATGCCCAAGTCTGCATGACTTCTGAGATCTGACGAGATCAGGCACTTTCAGACTGGTATGGCCATAGGCAAAAATAGCAGAAAGTGATCTCGCTGATGTTGGTATAATATCAAACACTGGTTGCGACAAAAGAGAAGACGCTTCTGACTAGGGAAAAAAGTGATCTGATTATGACATCATAATCTAAAAAAGAAATAAACAAAACCTTACGGCACCTGAGGTTCGTAGTTGGTCTCCCATACAAGTACTAAGCAGGCCCATGTATGCATGACTTGTGAGATCTGACGAGATCAGGCACTTTCAGACTGGTATGGCCGTAGGTGAAATTAGCAGAAAGTGATCTCGCTGATGATGGTATAATATCAAACACTGGTTGCGACAAAAGACAAGACGCTTCTGACTAGGGAAAAAAGTGATCTGATTATGACATCATAATCTAAAAAAGAAATAAACAAAAGCTTACGGCACCTGAGGTTCCTAGTTGGTCTCCCATACATGTACTAAGAAGGCCCAAGTCTGCATTACTTCTGAGATCTGACGAGACCAAGCACTTTCAGACTAGTATGGCCATAGGCAAAATTAGTAGAAAGTGATCTCGCTGATGTTGGTATAATATCAAACACTGGTTGCGACAAAAGACAAGACGCTTCTGACTAGGGAAAAAAGTGATCTGATTATGACATCATAATCTAAAAAAGAAATAAACAAAAGCTTACGGCACCTGAGGTTCCTAGTTGGTCTCCCATACAAGTACTAAGCAGGCCCAAGTCTGCATTACTTCTGAGATCTGACGAGATCAGGCACTTTCAGACTGGTATGGTCAGAGGCAAAATTAGCAGAAAGTGATCTCGCTGATATTGGTATAATATCAAACACTGGTTGCAACAAAAGACAAGACGCTTCTGACTATGGAAAAAAGTGATCTGATTATGACATCATAATCTAAAAAAGAAATAAACAAAAGCTTACGGCACCTGAGGTTCCTAGTTGGTCTCCCATACAAGTACAAAGCAGGCACAAGTCTCCATGACTTCTGAGATCTGACGAGATCAGGCACTTTCAGACTGGTATGGCCGTAGGCGAAATTAGCATAAAGTGATCTCGCTGATGTTGGTATAATATCAAACACTGGTTGCGACAAAAGACAAGACGCTTCTGACTAGGGAAAAAAGTGATCTGATTATGACATCATAATCTAAAAAAGAAATAAACAAAAGCTTACAGCATCTGATGTTCCTAATTGGTATCCCAAACAAGTACTAAGCAGGCCCAAGTCTGCATGACTTCTGAGATCCGACGAGAACAGGCACTTTCAGACTGGTATGGCCGTAGGCAGAATTAGTAGAAAGTGATCTCGCTGATGCTGGTATAATATCAAACACTGGTTGCGACAAAAGACAAGACGCTTCTGACTAGGGAAAAAAGTGATCTGATTATGACATCATAATCTAAAAAAGAAATAAACATAAGCTTACGGCACCTGAGGTTCCTGGTTGGTCTCCCAAACAAGTACTAAGCAGGCCCAAGTCTGCATGACTTCTGAGATCTGACGAGATAAGGCACTTTCAGACTGGTATGACCGTAGGCAAAATTAGCAGAAAGTGATCTCGCTGATGTTGGTATAATATCAAACACTGGTTGCGACAAAAGACAAGACGCTTCTGACTAGGGAAAAAAGTCATCTGATTATGACATCATAATCTAAAAAAGAAATAAACAAAAGCTTACGGCACCTGAGGTTCCTAGTTGGTCTCCCATTCAAGTACTAAGCAGGCCCAAGTCTGCATGACTTCTGAGATCTGACGAGATCAAGCACTTTCAAACTGGTATGTCCATAAGCGAAATTTGCAAAAAGTGATATCGCTGATGTTGGTATAATATCAAACACTGGTTGCAACAAAAGACAAGACGCTTCTGACTAGGGAAAAAGTGATCTGATTATGACATCATAATCTAAAAAAGAAATAAACAAAAGCTTACGGCACCTGAGGTTCCTAGTTGGTCTCCCATACAAGTACTAAACAGGCCCAAGTCTGCATGACTTCTGAGATCTGACGAGATCAGGCACTTTCAGACTGGTATGGCCATAGGCAAAATTAGTAGAAAGTGATCTCGCTGATGTTGGTATAATATCAAACACTGGTTGTGACAAAAGACAAGACGCTTCTGACTAGGGAAAAAAGTGATCTGATTATGACATCATAATCTAAAAAAGAAATAAACAAAAGCTTTCGGCACCTGAGGTTCCTAGTTGGTCTCCCATACAAGCACAAAACAGGCACAAGTCTCCATGACTTCTGAGATCTGACGAGATCAGGCACTTTCAGACTGGTACGGCCGTCAGCAAAATTAGCAGAAAGTGATCTCGCTGATGTTGGTATAATATCAAACACTGGTTGCGACAAAAGACAAGACGCTTCTGACTAGGGACAAAAGTGATCTGATTATGACATCATAATCTAAAAAAGAAATAAACATAAGCTTACGGCACTTGAGGTTCCTAGTTGGTCTCCCATACATGTACTAAACAGGCACAAGTCTGCATGACTTCTGAGATCTGACAAGATCAGGCACTTTCAGACTGGTATGGCTGTAGGCGAAATTAGCAGAAAGTGATATCGCTGATGTTGGTATAATATCAAACACTGGGTGCGACAAAAGACAAGACGCTTCTGACTAGGGAAAATGTGATCTGATTATGACATCATAATCTAAAAAAGAAATAAACAAAAGCTTACGGCACCTGAGGTTCCTAGTTGGTCTCCCATACAAGCACAAAGCAAGCACAAGTCTCCATGACTTCTGAGATCTGACGAGATCAGGCACTTTCAGACTGGTATGGCCGTCAGCAAAATTAGCAGAAAGTGATCTCGCTGATGTTGGTATAATATCAAACACTGGTTGCGACAAAAGACAAGACACTTCTGACTAGGGACAAAAGTGATCTGATTATGACATCATAATCTAAAAAAGAAATAAACAGAAGCTTACGGCACCTGAGGTTCCTGGTTGGTCTCCCAAACAAGTACTAAGCAGGCCCAAGTCTGCATGACTTCTGAGATCTGACGAGATCAGGCACTTTCAGACTGGTATGACCGTAGGCGAAATTTGCAAAAATTGATATCGCTGATGTTGGTATAATATCAAACACTGGTTGCGACAAAAGACAAGACGCTTCTGACTAGGGAAAAAAGTGATCTGATTATGACATCATAATCTAAAAAATAAATAAACAAAAGCTTACGGCACCTGAGGTTCCTAGTTAATCTCCCATACAAGTACTAAGCAGGCCCAAGTCTGCATTACTTCTGAGATCTGACGAGATCTGGCACTTTCAGACTAGTATGACCATAGGCAAAATTAGCAGAAAGTGATCTCGCTGATGTTGGTATAATATCAAACACTGGTTGCGACAAAAGACAAGACGCTTCTGACTAGGGAAAAAAGTGATCTGATTATGACATCATAATCTAAAAAGAAATAAACAAAAGCTTACGGCACCTGAGGTTCCTAGTTGGTCTCCCATACAAGTACAAAGCAGGCACAAGTCTCCATGACTTCTGAGATCTGACGAGATCAGGCACTTTCAGACTAGTATGGCCGTAGGCGAAATTAGCAGAAAGTGATCTCGCTGATGTTGGTATAATATCAAACACTGGTTGCGACAAAAGACAAGACGCTTCTGACTAGGGAAAAAAGTGATCTGATTATGACATCATAATCTAAAAAAGAAATAAACAAAAGCTTACAGCATCTGATGTTCCTAATTGGTATCCCATACAAGTACTAAGCACGCCCAAGTCTGCATGACTTCTGAGATCTGACGAGAAAAGGCACTTTCAGACTGGTATGGCCGTAGGCAGAATTAGTAGAAAGTGATCTCGCTGATGTTGGTATAATATCAAACACTGGTTGCGACAAAAGACAAGACGCTTCTGACTAGGGAAAAAAGTGATCTTATTATGACATCATAATCTAAAAAAGAAATAAACAAAAGCTTACGGCACCTGAGGTTCCTGGTTGGTCTCCCAAACAAGTACTAAGCATGCCCAAGTCTGCATGACTTCTGAGATCTGACGAGATCAGGCACTTTCAGACTGGTATGGCCATAGGCAAAAATAGCAGAAAGTGATCTCGCTGATGTTGGTATAATATCAAACACTGGTTGCGACAAAAGAGAAGACGCTTCTGACTAGGGAAAAAAGTGATCTGATTATGACATCATAATCTAAAAAAGAAATAAACAAAACCTTACGGCACCTGAGGTTCGTAGTTGGTCTCCCATACAAGTACTAAGCAGGCCCATGTATGCATGACTTGTGAGATCTGACGAGATCAGGCACTTTCAGACTGGTATGGCCGTAGGTGAAATTAGCAGAAAGTGATCTCGCTGATGATGGTATAATATCAAACACTGGTTGCGACAAAAGACAAGACGCTTCTGACTAGGGAAAAAAGTGATCTGATTATGACATCATAATCTAAAAAAGAAATAAACAAAAGCTTACGGCACCTGAGGTTCCTAGTTGGTCTCCCATACATGTACTAAGAAGGCCCAAGTCTGCATTACTTCTGAGATCTGACGAGACCAAGCACTTTCAGACTAGTATGGCCATAGGCAAAATTAGTAGAAAGTGATCTCGCTGATGTTGGTATAATATCAAACACTGGTTGCGACAAAAGACAAGACGCTTCTGACTAGGGAAAAAAGTGATCTGATTATGACATCATAATCTAAAAAAGAAATAAACAAAAGCTTACGGCACCTGAGGTTCCTAGTTGGTCTCCCATACAAGTACTAAACAGGCACAAGTCTGCATTACTTCTGAGATCTGACGAGATCAGGCACTTTCAGACTGGTATGGTCAGAGGCAAAATTAGCAGAAAGTGATCTCGCTGATATTGGTATAATATCAAACACTGGTTGCAACAAAAGACAAGACGCTTCTGACTATGGAAAAAAGTGATCTGATTATGACATCATAATCTAAAAAAGAAATAAACAAAAGCTTACGGCACCTGAGGTTCCTAGTTGGTCTCCCATACAAGTACAAAGCAGGCACAAGTCTCCATGACTTCTGAGATCTGACGAGATCAGGCACTTTCAGACTGGTATATCAGAGGCTAAATTAGCATATGATCTCGCTTGATGTTGGTATAATATCAAACACTGTTGGCGCATAAAGACAAGACGCTTCTGGATTAGGAAAAGTGATCTGATTATGACATCATAATCTAAAAAATAAATAAATAAAAGCTTACGCACCTGAGGTTCCTAGTTAGCTCCCACAAGTTAAGCAGGCCTAAGTCTGCATTACTTGAGATCTGACGTGAGATCAGGCACTTCAGACTAGTATTACAGGCAAAATTAGTAGAGTGATCTCGCTAATGCTGGTATGTCAAACACTGGCTGTGACAAAGACAAGACGCTTCGACTAGGGAAAGTGATCCGATTATGACATCATAATCTAAAAAGAAATAAACAAAACCTTACCGCCACCTGAGGCCCTAGTTGGTCTCCCATACAAGTACTAAACAGGCCCAAGTCTGCATGACTTGAGATCTGACGAGATCAGGCACTTTCAGACTGGTATGGCCGTCAGCGAAATTAGCAGAAAGTGATCTCGCTGATGTTGGTATAATATCAAACACTGGTTGCGACAAAAGACAAGACGCTTCTGACTAGGGAAAAAAGTGATCTGATTATGACATCATAATCTAAAAAAGAAATAAACAAAAGTTTACGGCACCTGAGGTTCCTAGTTGGTCTCCCATACATGTACTAAGCAGGCCCAAGTCTGCATTACTTCTGAGATTTGACAAGATCAGGCACTTTCAGACTGGTATAGTCAGAGGCAAAATTAGCAGAAAGTGATCTCGCTGATATTGGTATAATATCAAACACTGGTTGCAACAAAAGACAAGACGCTTCTGACTAGGGAAAAAAGTGATCTGATTATGACATCATAATCTAAAAAAGAAATAAACAAAAGCTTTCGGCACCTGAGGTTTCTAGTTGGTCTCCCATACAAGCACAAAACAGGCACAAGTCTCCATGACTTCTGAGATCTGACGAGATCAGGCACTTTCAGACTGGTATGGCCGTCAGCAAAATTAGCAGAAAGTGATCTCGCTGATGTTGGTATAATATCAAACACTGGTTGCGACAAAAGACAAGACGCTTCTGACTAGGGACAAAAGTGATCTGATTATGACATCATAATCTAAAAAAGAAATAAACATAAGCTTAGGGCACTTGAGGTTCCTAGTTGGTCTCCCATACATGTACTAAACAGGCACAAGTCTGCATGACTTCTGAGATCTGACAAGATCAGGCACTTTCAGACTGGTATGGCTGTAGGCGAAATTAGCAGAAAGTGATATCGCTGATGTTGGTATAATATCAAACACTGGGTGCGACAAAAGACAAGACGCTTCTGACTAGGGAAAATGTGATCTGATTATGACATCATAATCTAAAAAAGAAATAAACAAAAGCTTACGGCACCTGAGGTTCCTAGTTGGTCTCCCATACAAGCACAAAGCAAGCACAAGTCTCCATGACTTCTGAGATCTGACGAGATCAGGCACTTTCAGACTGGTATGGCTGTCAGCAAAATTAGCAGAAAGTGATCTCGCTGATGTTGGTATAATATCAAACACTGGTTGCGACAAAAGACAAGACGCTTCTGACTAGGGACAAAAGTGATCTGATTATGACATCATAATCTAAAAAAGAAATAAACAGAAGCTTACGGCACCTGAGGTTCCTGGTTGGTCTCCCAAACAAGTACTAAGCAGGCCCAAGTCTGCATGACTTCTGAGATCTGACGAGATCAGGCACTTTCAGACAGGTATGGCCGTAGGCGAAATTAGCAGAAAGTGATCTCGCTGATGTTGGTATAATATCAAACACTGGATGCGACAAAAGACAAGACGCTTCTGACTATTGAAAAAAGTGATCTGATTATGACATCATAATATAAAAAAGAAATAAACAAAATCTTACGGCACCTGAGGTTCCCAGTTGGTCTCCCATACAAGTACTAATCAAGCCCAAGTCTGCACAACTTCTGAGATCTGACGAGATCAGGCACTTTCAGACTGGTATGGCCGTAGGCGAAATTAGCAGAAAGTGATCTCGCTGATGTTGGTATAATATCAAACAGTGGTTGCGACAAAAGACAATACACTTCTGACTAGGGAAAAAAGTGATCTGATTATGACATCATAATCTAAAAAATAAATAAACAAAAGCTTACAGCACCTGAGGTTCCTAGTTGGTCTCCCATACAAGTACTAAGCAGGCCCAAGTCTGCATTACTTCTGAGATCTGACGAGATCAGGCACTTTCAGACTGGTATGGCCATAGGTGAAATGAATAGAAAGTGATCTCGCGGATGTTGGTATAATATCAAACACTGGTTGCGACAAAAGACAAGACGCTTCTGACTAGGGAAAAAAGTGATCTGATTATGACATCATAATCTAAAAAATAAATAAGCAAAAGTTACGGGACATGAGGTTCATACTCGGTCTCCCATACAAGTACTAAACAGGCCGAAGTCTGCATGACTTCTGAAATCTGACGAGATCAGGCACTTTCAGACTGGTATGGCCGTAGGCAAAATTAGCAAAAAGTGATATCGCTGATGTTGGTATAATATCAAACACTGGTTGCGACAAAAGACAAGACGCTTCTGACTAGGGAAAAAGTGATCTGATTATGACATCATAATCTAAAAAAGAAATAAACAAAAGCTTACAGCATCTGATGTTCCTAATTGGTATCCCAAACAAGTACTAAGCAGGCCCAAGTCTGCATGACTTCTGAGATCCGACGAGAACAGGCACTTTCAGACTGGTATGGCCGTAGGCAGAATTAGTAGAAAGTGATCTCGCTGATGCTGGTATAATATCAAACACTGGTTGCGACAAAAGACAAGACGCTTCTGACTAGGGAAAAAAGTGATCTGATTATGACATCATAATCTAAAAAAGAAATAAACATAAGCTTACGGCACCTGAGGTTCCTGGTTGGTCTCCCAAACAAGTACTAAGCAGGCCCAAGTCTGCATGACTTCTGATATCTGACGAGATCAGGCACTTTCAGACTGGTATGACCGTAGGCAAAATTAGCAGAAAGTGATCTCGCTGATGTTGGTATAATATCAAACACTGGTTGCGACAAAAGACAAGACGCTTCTGACTAGGGAAAAAAGTGATCTGCTTCTGACTAGGGACAAAAGTGATCTGATTATGACATCATAATCTAAAAAAGAAATAAACAAAGCTTACGGCACCTGAGGTTCCTAGTTGGTCTCCCATACAAGTACTAAGCAGGCCCAAGTCTGCATGACTTCTGAGATCTGACGAGATCAGGCACTTTCAGACTGGTATGACCGTACGCAAAATTAGCAGAAAGTGATCTCGCTGATGTTGGTATAATATCAAACACTGGTTGCGACAAAAGACAAGACGCTTCTGACTAGGGAAAAAAGTGATCTGATTATGACATCATAATCTAAAAAAGAAATAAACAAAACCTTACGGCACCTGAGGTTCCTAGTTGGTCTCCCATACAAGTACTAAGCAGGCCCATGTATGCCTGACTTCTGAGATCTGACGAGATCAGGCACTTTCAGACTGGTATGGCCGTAGGCGAAATTAGCAGAAAGTGATCTTGCTGATGTTGGTATAATATCAAACACTGGTTGCGACAAAAGACAAGACGCTTCTGACTAGGGAAAAAAGTGATCTGATTATGACATCATAATCTAAAAAATAAATAAACAAAGCTTACGGCACCTGAGGTTCCTAGTTAGTCTCCCATACAAGTACTAAGCAGGCCCAAGTCTGCATTACTTCTGAGATCTGACGAGATCAGGCACTTTCAGACTAGTATGGCCATAGGCAAAATTAGCAGAAAGTGATCTCGCTGATGTTGGTATAATATCAAACACTGGTTGCGACAAAAGACAAGACGCTTCTGACTAGGGAAAAAAGTGATCTGATTATGACATCATAATCTAAAAAATAAATAAGCAAAAGTTACGGGACATGAGGTTCATACTCGGTCTCCCATACAAGTACTAAACAGGCCGAAGTCTGCATGACTTCTGAAATCTGACGAGATCAGGCACTTTCAGACTGGTATGGCCGTAGGCAAAATTAGCAAAAAGTGATATCGCTGATGTTGGTATAATATCAAACACTGGTTGCGACAAAAGACAAGACGCTTCTGACTAGGGAAAAAAGTGATCTGATTATGACATCATAATCTAAAAAAGAAATAAACAAAAGCTTACAGCATCTGATGTTCCTAATTGGTATCCCAAACAAGTACTAAGCAGGCCCAAGTCTGCATGACTTCTGAGATCCGACGAGAACAGGCACTTTCAGACTGGTATGGCCGTAGGCAGAATTAGGAGAAAGTGATCTCGCTGATGCTGGTATAATATCAAACACTGGTTGCGACAAAAGACAAGACGCTTCTGACTAGGGAAAAAAGTGATCTGATTATGACATCATAATCTAAAAAAGAAATAAACATAAGCTTACGGCTCCTGAGGTTCCTGGTTGGTCTCCCAAACAAGTACTAAGCAGGCCCAAGTCTGCATGACTTCTGACGAGATCAGGCACTTTCAGACTGGTATGACCGTAGGCAAAATTAGCAGAAAGTGATCTCGCTGATGTTGGTATAATACCAACCACTGGTTGCGACAAAAGACAAGACGCTTCTGACTAGGGAAAAAAGTGATCTGATTATGACATCATAATCTAAAAAAGAAATAAACAAAAGCTTACGGCACCTGAGGTTCCTAGTTGGTCTCCCATACAAGTACTAAGCAGGCCCAAGTCTGCATGACTTCTGAGATCTGACGAGATCAGGCACTTTCAGACTGGTATGGCCGTAGGCGAAATTAGCAGAAAGTGATCTCGCTGATGTTGGTATAATATCAAACACTGGTTGCGACAAAAGACAAGACGCTTCTGACTAGGGAAAAAAGTGATCTGATTATGACATCATAATCTAAAAAAGAAATAAACAAAAGCTTACGGCACCTGAGGTTCCTAGTTGGTCTCCCATACATGTACTAAGCAGGCCCAAGTCTGCATTACTTCTGAGATTTGACAAGATCAGGCACTTTCAGACTGGTATAGTCAGAGGCAAAATTAGCAGAAAGTGATCTCGCTGATATTGGTATAATATCAAACACTGGTTGCAACAAAAGACAAGACGCTTCTGACTAGGGAAAAAAGTGATCTGATTATGACATCATAATCTAAAAAAGAAATAAACAAAAGCTTTCGGCACCTGAGGTTCCTAGTTGGTCTCCCATACAAGCACAAAACAGGCACAAGTCTCCATGACTTCTGAGATCTGACGAGATCAGGCACTTTCAGACTGGTATGGCCGTCAGCAAAATTAGCAGAAAGTGATCTCGCTGATGTTGGTATAATATCAAACACTGGTTGCGACAAAAGACAAGACGCTTCTGACTAGGGACAAAAGTGATCTGATTATGACATCATAATCTAAAAAAGAAATAAACATAAGCTTACGGCACTTGAGGTTCCTAGTTGGTCTCCCATACATGTAC